TGTGTGTGTGTGTGTGTGTGTGTGTGTGTGTGTGTGTGTGTGTGTGTGTGTGTGTGTGTGTGTGTGTGTTAGGTAGCTTTCATTGTGTTCTTAGATTTCATTCTGTTGTACTTTGAATTGCTCCAGTACATAATTGCATATTGCTGGGCATTTGCATGGGGTGAGTTTGTTGTTTCTGAAGCCCCACTTAGAGTCACAACCTCCCCCCCATCATATGCTTCAAAAGCTAAATAATTAGCTAGGGATTTGAGTCAGAAGATGTCAGCGAGCTAGCTGATTAGCAGAACATGCAGCTTCAGCATCTCCTAAATAAGGAATGTGTTTGTTTAATATTTAGTGTAGTGACTGTTCGTGGTCAATACGGGGCCCCCATGCTAATGTGTGATTTGAGTAGTGGACACCTGACAGGAAATGGGATTAGCAGGGTGTAGCATGTAACGATCACTAGCACGAAAAAATATTCACGTCTCATTCACTTCCATTATAGCTGCTCAGTGTGAAAATTGGATTCCTCACTTCTGGTTGCAGAGTGATTTCACACCAAGTTCATCTTAATTGATCTTTGAACTGTGAACTCGCATAGCTCAACCAATCAGGTGCAGTGTGGGTGGGGTTGACCTTTCAGGTTCACTTGGCTCTGGGACAAAATGGAGCAATCAATAATTTTTAACTGTCGAATGCCAGAATATGAATTTGTAAACAGGAGAAGAGCTGCATGACTGGCAGTGAGCATTCAAACAGGTTTCAAAGGTAGAAAGCATATTACAGTGCATTTTATGACATAGCTAGTCAATATGCGTTGCACCTAGCTTAGCAGACAAGAAGGCTAATGTTACAAAATGCATTTCTTGCACTGTGCTACTAGTTTCACCAAGAAAAAAAAAAGTAGTTCCCAAATGTATATTTTAAAGGCAAATAACATGTGACATTCCTTATTAACATAATTCCTCATTAAAATCACTGCGCCAACACGGTCTTGAAACAAAACGGCACATCCTGTACCACGCCCATTTTTGCTTGACGCTGCAAAGACGACATGATTTTTTCCACTCTAGTGTGACTGCACCTTCAACTCTTCAGGAAGGGCACAGATGTGAGACGAATATGGTGACAGGACCACATTTCAGCCCCAAAGTGGGCATCTGTCTTTTTGAATCCCCCCCCCCCCCCCGTTGCTCTTCTTGTTTATCCATTTTTGTGGAACTGTCCCCGCAGCCAGGCGACCCCCAAGATGCAACTCATGCAGTCCCAGCGTCAGATGATTGACCTGCATGTTTTCCCCAAGTAGAGCATGATCTGTATCCATTTACAGCTTTGTGGACCCCCTGGCTGTGAGGTGACCAGCTGGCCACCCCCGTGTGTCTGTTATTTGGTGCGATCTGCCTGCCTCTTTATTCCGAAACAGGCGGATGTCTGTTACCTTCTCCCTTTGCCCTCTTCAGCCATGACTACTGAATGTTCACAGCTTAAACATGTGGCACTATATGTAGAGTGTGGTGTGTAGCTCTGTGAGGTAGGACACTCTATCTGTAATCCGATGGTTGCTGGTTTAAATCCCAGGATTGGCTGAATGATGTTACCATTGGGTCCCTCAGCAAGTCCCTAACTACCCCTGCCATTACTCCATGGACTGTCTGATGCTGCTTTTTCAAAAAAGTCTGTGTTCTGTTGAAACAAAGCATCTGCTAATTCAGGGTTAGGTAATCTTATCCAGAAAGGGCTGTTGTGTATGCAGGTTTTTACTGAAACTCCCTAATTAGATTACTGATTAGAGGACTAATTGGTTGAAGAGTCCTCACACCTAGCTTTGAACATCTGACCTAAAGGTTACCCCAAGAACCTGCATACAAACTGGCCCTTTGTGGATAAGATTGCCCACCCCTGTGTTTAAATTAATAAAATGTATCTCTACACATGGGTAGGTGCTCTGTTTCATTTAAGAATAACCCTCCAAAATGAGTCAATACTGCTATAGTGAAGCATGGTTCTTTTTCATTACTTAAATGAGGTGTGTCCCCATTATGAGTGTTTGGGGGGATGTTCAGAAACACAATGGCACTCAATACATTAAGCTAAGGTGGGGTAGCTTACAGGGAAATCAAGATGTTCCATTGAATTCAATGTCTCTGACTGAACACCATAGACCTGTTCCCTCAGGAAAAAGAAAAGCGACAGCTGTCTAGATTGTCAGGTGTCACTGAAGGCCTGATTCATTTTCAGGGGCATTATTAGTTAAGTCTAATAATGTAATTGCAGGTTTTGTTAAATCAACGAGCAGCTGATTAGCTGCTAGGAAGCCATGTTCCCATGTGTATTTTTGGGGGTGTGTCTGGGTCTGTGCGTAATTGTGGGTGTGTGTATCTGAATCTGGGGTCCTCGAGTGATGGGGTTTTATTTGAGAAAGCCAAAATCAAGCAGAAGCCCAAATAAATTACATAAACTGACACATTAAAGGACAAAGTTGTTGAAAAACCTAATGAGACTTTTCCCTCTAAAACAGAGAAAACATATTTTAACCGACACATCAAATGTGCCTCTTCTGTATTGACATCCTGTATCTAAAATGGGATTGTCTGATATATCTGAGCCCTTTATCCTCAGTTATATGTCTCCTGTACAATTTAATCTGAGGGTGTTGCTTCAGATCATTAATACAGTTTATGTAAAACAATGTTTTTCAAACCTTTCCTCTGCAATGGAATTTTACTATAATGATTCATCTTTCTCTAGCATGTAGCAGTAGATGCTGTCTTAAGTCATGAATTTAAATTTGCATTTATATTTTACATATTTAGCAGATGCTTTTGTCTAAAGTGAGGCAAATAGCACATTACAAACATACGGCTGTCTAGGAGTCAACTAGGCACAAGCACAGGTGGACTAATTTCTCTGGGGGTCTAAGGGGGCCATTTGAGCTATTTTTTGGAGCCGAAATAGAAATGAGAGGGAATTAATAGTGATGGAACATCAATAATCTGCCAATCAAAGCATGGGATGCCAGCAGTAGGGATATTGCATTGATTGATCAATCAGCCAAATTTAAGAAGTTTAATTGTACCCTCTTTTGCCAGTATGCTATGTTGTAGTCTGTTAAATGTGTTCTTTCCATGTCTGATCACAATTTGTCTATCATTCTAGCAGGATAGTATCAAACACTTCCTTCCTCTGCTTGGCTATTTTGTGCCAGTTATCTTGGCAGTGAAAGAACCGGTAGCCGACCGCTAGGCTCCAGTGTGAAAAGAAGGCTGGATAGCATGAAATCTCAAAGTAGGAATAGTCCATTACAGCCAGAATAGGGGGACAAATTTGTCTATCACTATAAATGTAAACAGATATGTTGCTATAATTTAAATAATCAGACACCAGTTAGCCATAACATTAAAACCACTGAAAGGTGAAGTAAATAACATTGATTATCTTATTACAGTGGCATGTCATTATATATTAGGCAAGTGAACAGTCAGTTCTTGAAGCTGATGCACTGAAAGCAGTAAAAATGGTCAAGTGTAAGGATCTGTGTGACTTTGACAAGGACCAAATTGTTATGGCTAGACAACTGGGTCAGAGCATCTCCAAAACGGCAGGCCTTGTGGGGTGTTCCTGGTATGCAGTGGTCAGTTCTGACCAAAGGGGTCCAAGGAAGCAATATTGTCCATTTGCAGAGCCGCACCACCATATGTCACTATGGTTCTAGGCCAGCAGTTCCACAGCCTAATTTTGCTGCATCAAGACATTTAGAAAGGAATGTCTTTTCTTTTTGGAAGTGAATTGTTTTGCAAAGGAAGGACTTATAATATAATGAATAATTATATTGAATATTTATTTTTATATATTGCATTATATAATATTATATTATTAAAATTTATGTTATAATTTATATCATTCATACATACTCTATATTGATAATTAGCAATGAATATATATATATATTCATACATATACATATATACATTAGAGCTATATATGCATGTATGTGTGTGTGTATATATATATGTACACACACACACATTTTACATTATGTTTAATTATATGGAATATAACTGTAATATATTATATAAGAAAATAATAATAATAATAAATATTTTGAATATAATTTGAAAATACGTGTGAAACTGCTGGTCTAGAATTGCTGGCCCAGAACTGCAGTGACATATGGTGGTGCAGCTCTGCAAATGGATGTATCTCCAAGGGAGGCCAACCAGTGAATCGGCAGCATGGTCATGGGCGCCCAAAGCTCAATGATGCGCATGGCGAGCGAAAGCTAGCTTGTCTGGTCCAATCCTACAGGAGAGCTACTGCAGCACAAATTGCTGAAAAAGTCAGTGCTAGCTCTGATAGAAAGGTGTCACAACACACAGTTCATCACAGATTGCTGCTTATGGAGCTGCGTAGCTGCAGACCAGTCAGAGTGCCCATGCTGACCCCTGGCCACAACTGAAAGCACCTACAATGAGCAGGTTAGCATCAGAACTGGACAGTGGAGCAATGGAAGAAGGTGGCCTGATCTGAAGATTCATATTTTCTGTTACATCATGTTGACGTGTGTGTTTGTGTGCGTGTAAATTATCTGAGTAAGAAATGGCACCAGGACGCAATATGAGAAGCTGATGGAGGCAGTGTGATGCTCTGGGCAATGTTCTGCTGGTCCTGGCCTTCATATGGATGTTACTTTGATACAAACCACCTACCTAAACATCGTTGCAGACCAAATACACCCCTTCATAACAATGATATTCCCTAATGTCAGTGGCCTGTTTTGGCAGGATAATGCACCCTGCCACACTCAAAAATTGTTCAGAAATGGTTTGAGGAACATGTGTGTGTTGGGTTCACCAGATCTCAATCTGATTAAGCATCTGTGGGATGTGCTGGACAAGCA